TTCAAAAATTTTTGAAAAAAAAGATACTCAGTAAAAAATGTTGTCGCTTATGAGAGATCAGATCACGGCCTATCTTCTTATGCATTTATCTTAGTTTCGATCATTCTGACGAAAAGTGACTTTGTTTGAGAGATCTTAACGAAATTTCTCAGTGAAAAATTTTTAGTCAGATATTTAACAAAAACGGTAACGTTTTTACGCGTTAAATTGTGAGATTTTTATGCACGATAAATTCATTTTTTTCGTTCTTTGTCTCTCTGAGTTGAAAAGTCTATTAACCATAGGTGACAAAATATTTTGTCACTTTCGATGTGTCTTTTGCTGAATGAAGATAGATGCATCAATTATTTGCCATACAACTCTTGTAGAGCGTTGAATGATAAACTGTTACAAAAGACAATAATTAGATAGTTTTAAGTGCACTTTTTGCCACATTACACACCTTGACAGTACAATAAAATAGTTTCAATCATCAACCACAGAGCTTTTGTCTAGCTGTGGATACGGTTGTGGTTGTGTAAGGTTCATCTGAGCACTCACATTCACACCCAGTTGACGATATAGCATTTTAACAATCATGGTCGACAGAAAAAGAAATCTTGATTATCCTGGCTGAATTTTACTAATATTCTGCCATGATAAAATGATCTTTATTCATAATTTGCGAAAAATAGCTAGCAGCTCTCACCATTATGAATAGCTGCATGAAAGTATTTGCTCCACATCTTCAATGATTGATGTTGCCGTACAATGGAGATCGTTTTCAAGGTAGAGCAAACGAATCACTGCTACTTGAAGAATACCTTTGCAAATAAAAAATTATTGCAGGAATAACGAAAAAAAAATGTATAGTGATGAAAAAAACGTCTCTTCATGTGTTAACCGCAAAAAATATTCACCATTTGCAGTCTGTTAACAGTACGACAATCAAGGTGAGTTTTCATCCGAAAGTTGGCAAGTAAGAAAAAGCCATTAAAGTATTCAGGGACTACTCACCTTGAAAATATATAATTGGTTGTTTATACAATCCTCCATTGTCCTTAGTATGCAAGCTGTAGTACAATAATAAAATCTGATTGATGCGTCTGTACAGAAACATTAATTAGACTCCGAAACTCAGTATTAACAGGTACACTACAGATCGAAAAACAGAGGAAGGAAAAGAAAAGTTGTTATTGTATACAATTAAACATTTAATCACTTGTTGTTTCACTCAACGACGATAGAGTACTTTGTGCAAGTTCAACAGATAAATGTAAGTAAAGAAATGTGAAAAGGTGTAGAACCTTTCGTCCCTCCTATCATTTATTGACTCCCTCAATATATTTGATCAGCCTATCTAGATTTATTTCTTAGGTAAAAGTAGGCCACTTTTCGGTAGAACCCTTTGGACTGAAAAACATGAATTTTATCATAGTGAGTTTCGCCAATTGGTAGAAGTTGTATCATAGACTATTGAAATTATCGTTTAACTGCATAGATTTTTACTGGACGTTTGACAATAATTAATCCGAAGTTGCCAAATGTACGTAAATGAGAAATTATCGGCTTTTCGAGCAATGTATTCTACCAATAGCATGGATTTTTTGTGATTTTATATGAGTGCTGTGTAATCGAAGGCTGTTTGTCATTCAGGTTGCTTTTCAAACGGCCTTCTTTAAATGTGCTACATCCAATGTAATATTCAAATGAATCGTGATTTGAAATTGTCAGAACATGTGCACTTGAATCTGTTAGTTTCCGCACTGTTATGCGTTTTGTAAGGGTCAGTTAAAGTGCTCTGCGTGTGACGATGCAGTGAACTTTACAAGTCTCATTATCTCAAAGCCACTTTGCAGTGACGAAATTATTGTGAAAGTTAATAAAATATCGTAGAAATAGTAGGGCACCACATCATCTCTGTTCTTACGCATTCTTCCACACCCAAATGACGTATTACACAAAATGAGTAAAGACCATGGTAGTCATATATGCACTATAGTCTACAAAACCACGCTTTCTCCAGCGAATATCGCGGTGTATTGAAATGCTATTTCACTTGAAACAATCTTGTGAAAAACTGATGGTCGTGAGCCGTGACTATGATACAGGTCGTCAGCCTATTTGAGTTCTACACAGTATGTCTGAAAAGTAGTTCTCTATTTTAAATTCTTTTTTTCTCTTTAGTAAGAATAGATATTGTGTTACATTTTTTTACTGTTTTGAAGCATACTTCATAAGGATTTGTTTTACATAAGCAAGATTATTAATGAATTGACTACGTAGGATCAAACGTAAACTTCACTTGAAGAATGCTTGAAAAATAACTTCTTATTTTTCATCATTTATTACTTTTATACAAAGCATATATTGTAATGAGTATTTTTCTATTTTGAGACATGGATACCGCGGTATATGAAGCCGCTAAATAGCACATACCCAATACTGCGATTTTCAATGAGTATACAGAGGTATTTGAAACCGGTAAATATCATAATAGTGAATACCGGAATAATCGTTGAGGAGACTGTGGTTTTTGTTCTATGCGGTGCAAAAGAATCGCTGTCAATCGCAGTTATTGTAATGGCACCGTAGTTTTCTTTAGAGAAACTGCTGTTGACGGTGGTTTTCCTGTAAAAATTTTTCCGTGTGTATCAAGGGGAAAATTCAGAAAAAACATTACTTTATGCGATCATCGAAAGTCAGTACTGTGAAATCTTTGTTTTCCTACAGAGCATATTCATTGTACAAGATCTAAGCATGCGAGAAGAATACAAAAGCTGTGTATATACTAGAGAAATGGATGATGTCCTGTTATTACATTGCATGAAAGTCTATTTATCAGTTTCATGTGTGGAAAAACATGATGTGCTCGAGAAGCAAATGAGTGTTATTTATTTGATCGTGCTGAAAGCGTACTAGTGGTGGTGAGGAAGACTCAATTCATAGCTTGAGCTGCTTGAAAACTAACTCTATTGTAACATCGTAGTCAACTCTTTGTTTTGTTGATAGTAACAGTAAGGTAGGAGTATGAATGTAGGTATAAGTATTGGTTTGATTCATACCCATATCCAGATATTGTACTCATTAAGTTTTACGAAAGAGCATGCATTCGATTCGAAACAGCGTGTAACACCTGGCAACGTTCCCCCGTTAGCCAAACAGATTAGAACAGAGTTTTTCTTTACACTATTACAGACAAAACGTAGTGTTGTTCGAGTCATTTAGAGGATTATCAGAGGCCATCTTTGTAATGGTTCGAATAACACCATATATTGTTCGCACAGAAGTAGAGAAGAAATGGGAATTTCCTAATGCAATCATTAAAACTTGAGTGTAAGCGTAATAAGTGTTAAATGGAGAAACTGAAATTGAACATTAATAGTTAAATGACTTGCTAACATTTAACATTAACGAATAAGTCGTATCTGCAGTTTGGCTTTTAAATACGATTGCTTAAGATATCAGTCAAAGCTTAATTTTAATTTAAAGCTGATGGTTCATCCCGAAGTAACATAAGGGTGTGGGTGTGGGGTGTGGATGTCAGTGAAGGTGAGACCAAAGCCCACATCCCACCCACACTCACACTCACACCCTCACTCATACCCACATCCACATCCTCATACTCACACTCACACCCACACTCACACCCACACCCACTAAAAAAAGGTGTCGAAATTGAATTGCAAGGAATTCATAGGAACATGATGAAGACCACCGATTCTTACTGAGCAAGAATGACCTGAGAATATGCTCTCACTTACTGCCTTATTTTCAGAGAATAAGTTCTAGTATTTGGCTTTAATTATTTGATTTTCTCGCAGGTAAAAAAAATTTCGCATGTCACAAGTTAGATTTTATTGTTTTAGCTTTTCAATCCTTAAGTCTCAAACCTGGATACCTTCAGTGGTGCAAAGAACAGGATGTGTGATTATGAATGACTTTCCTTTACCCATAGCCATAGTCATATCTACACCCTAATGGTAATAGAGTACGAAGTAACTAATTGGGTCGATGAAATAAAATAGAGTGAAGCAGTAATGATTCAGTTAAATTTAACATTACCCATTGCTGTCAAGTCTTCAATCAGTTCTGTATACATTAGCGATTAGATGCGAATTAAAACGTTAGTTATATAATTCAGAATAACCTACTGAAAAAAAAAGTGGCAGAGAATGTTTTCTACGTTGATTGATGCCTGATCAATTTTTCTTTTCACCTTATGTAGGTTTTCATTTAAGAAGAAAGAATTCACATATTGATAGTAACAAGAAGAGAGAACAGCTATCCGTTTGAAATGTCTTCTTTCATTCATGAATATACCCATATAGCAGCATGCTGACAAAAATTTCGTTTTAACATTCTTTCTATTTTTTGTCATCATTATCCTAGCCGTTGTTCTCAACTTTTTAGAAAGATTACGTTGGAGAGGATAGAACAGGTGAAACATATATATATAGTAGAGAGTGACAGCAAGGTATAACAATGCTACGTTTCGATTTTTCTATTTCTATCCGAATGGCATTCTTCTGACGAATCATTCACATATTTTTTAACGTTTTCTCTTTATTAATAGATTTTTGACAGTAGAAATGTCTGTAGATTCACTCATCATTAGTGAAGAAGATAATACGAAAACTTCTAATTCAACTATTACATACCGTCCTCTTCCAGTGCACCCTAGTTATGCTGTTCATTATATTTCGTCAGCATTCGTCAAAATCCAACAACTGAAAACTGATCTCAATGCAGAATATCAGCACGAAAAACATGCGCTAACTGAATTGAACGAACAATTGCGTTTCCTCGTTGATCGTGTTCAGCAATTGGAATCACAAAATTCAAATTATGTTACAAAACTAGCCGATTTACGACGGCAATCGTTCATTATTAGTACTACCGACAAACAAAATGATGAACATTATCGTCTACAGGTTGATATGATGACCGTTAACTACGATAAAGTTCGCTACGAGTCGGAAATTGAACTCTTCCAACTACAAATTAAAATCTATCAGCAAATGATCCAGGCTGAAAAGCAATCGATCGATGAGCAACGATTGAAATTAGAACAAGAATTGGATCAATATGCATCTAATCTTGTCCATCTACGCACATCCTATGCAGAATTGAAACCGAAAGTTGAAAGTTATCGTGCAACATGTAAAGATACATTCCAACAGTATATGACATTGACTAACGATTGGTCTCTTGCGAAGAAACAAACAAATGAATTGAAAATCAGAGTGCAAATGACGAAGAATCAAATTAAATATTTCAAGAATTTTTATTCATATGAACTAAAGTGAATATCCATTGTTTGTTGTCTTCTTTTCATAGAAAAATTTTTCCTTTTGCTTCTAGCAAATGCGATTTATTTTCAATGGATATGTCTGATTTTGCGAAATTCTGGAAGCTTGAATGGGAACAAATTGTTGAGAAAATACGTCATGATTTCAAACTATTATATGAAGCAATTCGTCAAGAAACAATCAGTTTTTATGAAGAGAAAAGCAAAGAAGTACAAATCGAATTAGAACAAATAACACAATATCAACAAGTTAAGCAGGAAAAATATATAAAGATTCAGCAGAAACTCCAGAGTGAATATGAAGAAGTACAGAAGAAACTTACCTATGAAAAAGAAATTCTATTGAAATCGGAAGCAATATACTGTGAGTAAAATGTTATTTCTCGTGTTCTATTAGTTTTTTCTTTAAAAAAACACATTTCCCTTTCATTGCTTAAAGCTAAATTAGAATCCGAATTGAAAACCATTCAAATCCAAGATGAAGAACGATTCGAAGCACAGTCGAATGATTTATATGGTTTACAGGAAAGTATCGTGGCAATGGTGAGTAGTGTCGAAGAAATACGACGAAGGTTAGAAAGTTTGCTGCTGGTTGAAACATAGAGCACAATTTTCTTTTTGCATGATATTTCTAGAAAAGTCTACTTAGAAAGCGAAATTATTATTTATCGTCATCTATTGATCAAATGTGGAATAGTGAAACAGATTGAGATGCCCTCTTCTTCGGTAGTTTCAATTACAAAGAAAAGAAAATTCATTATAGAAAGTCAATGTCGCGGATCGATTAATATCGGTAAGCTTCAAATTGAAGAAAAGAGTATGGACGACTCTGATCACTACTTCTTCTCTTTTTTCGGAAAAAGAATGTCCTCTCGATAGCACATACATTCGTCTGATGAATCAATCGGCTAGTGCAGTTATCGATATTTCGAGATGGCTACTGAAACGGCGTGTTGATTCAAAGATGGTACTTCAGTATACACTACCCAATGGGGTTCGACTTCTGCCAGGTAGTGAATTAAGAGTCTATTCGAAATTAGGCGGTGCAGTTGCTCAAAAATCGTCGGATCAAAGTGCTTTTTCGTCATCCCTACACCAGCAAATTATTCTTAACGATGTATTTTCAATGGGTACGTGATTGTATCAAGCTATTTTACTTATTAGTCTCTTCTACCATTGTCTAGGTATTGGTGACAAGATCGAAACACAGCTTCTTGATGAAAAGGGCGAAGAGAAAGCATCATGCATACAGTCGGCGACAAATGATTGGATAGTATGTGATTGATAGCAGCAATATCAACTCATTGTGATCGAAAACTAGATTGACAGCTTGAATTGAATTAGGTCTCTAATCTGCTAGGTACCTTTTAATGGAAGTTTTTAGATTTTTATCTGACACTGAACTAATAAATACAACACAAAATTTTTGAGTACGCTTCTTTAATCGTTGATCTGAAGGTTGTTGCAGTATATTTTTCAAACTGATATTTCTCCATAGGGAGGAATTTATGCATTTGAATACGTCTGTCATCGAACAAGCTTTCAAAATTCTCTTTTCTGATAGTATTGCCGATATATTCCATTCTCTGTATGAGGTTATTGTCGTTGAATCGAATTCCATGATGTCTATTTTTGAGATTAAATGAACTTAGCTTCGAAGAAACCTGTGATTTTTACATCAATCCATACGTTCTTTTTTGCCAAATATTTGTTGGTAATCGATGTTCTTTTGGATCGCAATTTGCCTTGACAACAAATACAAAATCAAATACTAGCCCATGGTCACCATTCTGATATAGTTTTGAAGTATTATGATGGAAAGATATTCACAGAGAACCCTGAATTTATGTCATCAACCAGTTTTAGTGATACGCATTCGATTAAACCGGATTTCAAGAAGACATTAGCTACTATTCTGCTATCTGAATTTTCGTTCTTTTAAAATTCAGTTGAATGCAAATAAGTTTGTCCTACCAATATTTTTCACTACTCTTGTATTATCAGCTCAAAATTATAGCATCACGATATATTATCAATAATAGTGCTCAGTATATTATGGAACCAACCTTCTAAAGAGCCATCTCGAATTTTAGCGATGTTACAATTTATCATGTACTTATAGAAAAGACATATTAAACTGTAAGAGCAAGACAGAAGAGCTCTACATATCATTCTGTACTAAAATTGAAGTTTCTTCAAAAGTTGTCTCGGAAAAACTCTATGTGGTCAAGAGATCACTTCAAAATGATTTAATTTTGCACTAGAACATTAGCCAGAACATGGATGGAGCATGGTTGTCGGACTTCTCTTCACTCACATCCACACCCTACCTAAAAATAATAAAATATATAGAATGAGGACCAACAGAGAATTCTGGGTTGCGCGATCAAAAAAGCATAAACTGAGACAAAAACGAAAAAACATTCTCTGATTTAGCTAAAAAAAAGCATTTTTTCAAGCAGAAAATGGCGGGAATTTTTGGAAAAAAAATGAGGTCCCAAATAAAACATCCTGTCATTTATTACAGCTCAGACTTCAGGATATCTTTCCATGTATTCATCTTAATTTTTATTTTTTTTTTGACAAAGATTGACTTTTTTTTGTGGAGGATTGACCTTAATAGATATTTTTTTCTTATTATGAATAGGAAATTTATTTTTTTCGATTTTTTTCCTCAAACGGTACAATGGATACGTTCTTCACTCGTATACAATATTGAGGACATGTTCAAGAGATTCGATACTTTTACGGAACAGCTCGAAGACAATTTACTGGATGACGACGAACTGGATTCCGAGACTGAAGAAATGAATGATTCATAAAGAAAATCTATTCATCGTTTCTAGTTTCATGCTACTACTACTGATTCAAAAGCAGCTACATGTCTAATCTCATATATTAAAAAGACATTCAACATGTAGGAATATGTTGTGTCATCATGATTTACGAACAGGATAGTGAAAATGAGATGTTTTATGATTAACACTACTTTTATACGGCAAAGAAGGATATTCCTGTAAAATGAATAGTTTCGTTCGATTCATAATGATGGAAAGTCTAATATTTTGTTGATAGACGTCAAATTGCTTAAACTTGAAAAAATTTACAAAAAAGGTTGTTTTGAGCATTTGTCACCATCAATGTTGGACGCATAACTTTTGAACAAGGCACTGTAAAAATTTTGGGTTTGTTTAGAATTGTAAATCTTGAGTAGGCGAATCTGATGCAACTCTTATATAAGTAAACTTCTATACAATTTTCATAGCACTTTAGATGCTTCTTTGAATTTCACTGACCGTTCATCAAGTTTGTGAGCTGATCTTATTTAACATTAAATAGAAAGATGCAGTACATCAGCCTCTTTCTAATGGTGAGAACTACAAGATGATAGCTCTCTTCGTTGAGGAGTTATTCGAAAAATAACCATCCTTCTTTTATTTTGAGATGAATAACAGTATCAATTAGACTTCTTTTCGAGGCATAAGCTAAAGCTCTGTATGATAATCGTTGTCGACATTTTGATAGGGTAAGATTAATACAAGTCCATAGAAAGGTGGAATACGAGAAAGCTAGAGTACGAATAAAATTGTTAGGTAGAATAGAGCATGAAAATTTACGTCTTGGAACGATCCAAGCAGATACGTAGAGAATTATCGAAAATATTGTTAAGAGAGAATTGTAGCATTAAGTATACCATTTGTGACTGAATTATCAGATCTACAAAAAAAATCAACGAAACTATATTTTTATATCAGATAAACATATATCACAAAACTACAGAAAATACTTAGAGAAAAAGTTTCATTTTTGTGAGTCAATAAAATGTGCAGCAACATCAAACATCGGTTCTCCCATATTTTCTCGATTTTTTTTCCTATGAACAAATGCCACTAATTGTATTTACATTTAGAATAGAGAAATGCAATAGCTACGCGAAGAGTGCATCATAACTGGCAGACTCAAAATAGATGAATTAATGCGTTAGAAAGTTCGAAGCATATGCTGTGAGAAAAACTATGTCTAGCATCGAATTTTGAAGGAATTGAATACTAATGATAGACATTCAAGGATCTCTATTGTATTCGACACTGAATATTTGAGGGTTTTTAAAAGACGAAATTCAAAATTGAAATAGCTGAGGTTTCTTGCATGGAGAAAAGCGGTGTATTTATTTATTTTTTCAATAATTGATTCCAACAGATCTTTAAACAACTCTGTATTCCACATAAACGATCATTTTCTTTTTCTAGCAAAAATTGTTCTGTACTATGTCTACGGTAGACAGATCTACACTGCAAATTTCATATTCTCACAATGCACTTTTGATGGTATGATAGAATTTGGAAGCGAGAAGAATGAAATGAAACTGAAAATAAAGTTTGATGTATCGGCAAATACTCAGTTGTTTAAAACTAATCGATTTCAAATACAAATTGTAGAATTCGGTAGAGTAATGTTTGCTCTTTTCCGCAACAAAAAATTTCTGCTTATAAAATATTTAGGAAAGTATTTATATGTATACATATATAAGGTTTGTATTGAATAAAGCGAAATTGTTGATGAAATTCGAGTCAGTCACTCTACTAGAACATATAGACCAGTATGTTTCGATGGCGAAAGTTATTGACAACTTAGGAAAATAAATTTGCTACTTCAGTGTCCGAATTTGTATGCGTCAGTATTCACTTGAGTTTAGTCGCAACCATTAGATTTTTGCTTAGCCATCTCAAATTCGATTGATAAAGAGCATGAACAGAAAAATAACCAAATTAATAATATTCAGTTTAAATCAATGAATAAAATTTTAATACAAAGTTTTCATCAAAGTTTTCCATTGAGGTGAGAATATCGAATGTGAAGTGGATAATTTCAGCTGAGAGTATACATTCATTTGCTTTCACTTTCATATATCTCACACTATCTCAAATCTGAGTCTAATATCGATCATAAACATATATTTTTTGTATGCCAAGACTTATAAACAAGCGATTATAGACCATTTATCTGATCCGTTGTTCAAAATTATGTTGTAAAAAATTGAAATTTGAATAATCTATGTAAGGCAACTTAGAAGGTTCTATTATGAGTAAATGTATGAAAAAAAAGTGATACATAAATGTCATGTACATTTTAGTTTAGCGTGAGTGATCTTTTCAACTGTCGTTTTTCTATGAAAACTACAAAATATTAGAAAAGCTATTACAAATTTAAATAACTTCACAATGAACATGACCAAGTATAATTCTGTGACATCTTTTCAGAGTACTCTTTTTAAGTTTATATTGGTTAATCGTGTAATGAAAGTTTTTTTTCGTGTAATAAAAATAGTTTTCACTTAAAGATATAAAATGTTCGACAACGTTATTTGATGATTTTGTGAATGTTCAGAAATTTTGCTTGTGCGTCTGTTCATAGAGTCTTTTGTTTTAACTGAACATTTTTTTAGATATATCAATTGAAATAAACAATTTTATATATTTTTTCGTTTATTCCATGCAAATAATAATAGTGATAAAATACAAATAACTCCAAAAACCAAAAATAATCCACGTATTGCTTCAATTCCAATCGCAGTCGATATTTCAGATGAGACAGGACACTGCTGTATTTCAAACCATTTTTGTCTTAATTTCTCCAGCTCACTGGTTTCTCTTAATTGTAGAATATTCACATCTAAATCTTGTGCATATAACCATTTCTGAGGAGTAACAATACTAAATATACTTTTATCAAAATCATTTTCAATTAAAGTTAAATTACAATATATATTATTCGTGGCATATTCAACAACACCACTATCCCAAAAAGCTGCATCAACAATATCTGCAAGTAGACTAAGATATAGATCGTTCACAGATTGTAATGAGTGATAATTTTTAACATCATTAGATATTTCTCTCAAATAATACTCTTCAGAAGCTGAACCTACAATAACACCGATACGATTAAATGGTATTTTTCCATTTTTGATATCATCAATTCCAGAAATCATAGCTTTTGATTTTGCCACTGTCAGATCAGATGCTAAATTTGCAGTATATGATGCTACTAATATCAAACCTAAGATATATAAACCAGCAGTTAATAAACGTCCAGCAGCTGTAGTGATATCAAAATCTACACCAAATCCAACAATATTACCAAAAGAATACCATATACTCATTACAATTTGATACAATATTGATTGATTTTGTAATGTTTCATTATCTTTTCTCTCTACTATATATATCAAAATACCAGCACAGATTAGAGTACCTAAGAGTAATAACCAGAGATTACGTGAGA